AGAGGGCGCCGGCGGCGGCGGTCGGTTAGGAGGGAGGCGGAACGTTTGGGAGCCGGGCTCGGAGGCCACTGACCTTCGCGTTCAGCTCATCCACGATGAAGTGGCACAGGGCGGCTTTGAAGAAATACTCTTTCGCGCTGTACTTGAGCAAAGGATTATCCATCGTGTTCGTTCCGACCTGGGCACACACAGGTATTATTAGAGTTGGGAGAAGAGAAGTGCATCGTTAAGAACTGAATTAAAAATGGGACGGCCAAGTGAAATCACACGCGGCACCGTAAGGCGAATAAAGACCACAGAGAAAAAAAACGCCAGCATCCGTAGAAGAAGCTCCGGGGAAGCCAGACGGGTTTTTAACTAATCCCGAGTGAGGTCAGAAACCTCACTGAGCAGCACCCGGGCAGCCCAGCCCCCCAGGGGGTCGCTGCGCCAGTCTGGGGGTGCCAGGCTGGCACCCGGTACCTCCCGTCCGATGCAGGAAGGGGAAAGCGAGTCGACACGGTGAAACGGGCTGCGCTATGAACCCTCCGGAGGCACAAAAGCAGCCCTGCAAGGGCTCCCCGGTAAATACCTGGTACAAAGGCAGAGCAATCGGGTTCACAGATTGGGGGTGGGGGGGGAAATTTTCCACCAAGCACGCTTGTAAATACGATCAAAGGTGTAATTACAGATTTCCTGCCCCCAGCCTTTCTCCAGGAACAACAGAATTCAGAGGAAAAAAACGCCTTAAAGCAACTCTTAAAAGCACAGGAGCAAACCGTGTCTGGTAAAGGCGTCATCGGCCCCAAAATAAGCGCAATGAGGCGCTCCCAGGCCACGGCAGTTTTGTGAGACCGGCACACTGACCCACTTCTCATTTTCAAGAATTTTTCAGCTCAGGGTTTTCTCTAATTCGCATCTCTCATCCGATCTGCAGCACCACGTAAACACGAAAACCTTTCACCCCCGACTGGACCTGAAGCCTCCCCCGCCCCCGTCCTTACAAATTTGGCTGCAGGTAACTCGGCCCTACAGCACAAAACTCATC